CAGCGCACACCTGTGATCCCAGCGCTCCGGAGGCTGAGCCAGGAGGCGAAGGCAGAGTTTGAGGCCAGCCTCTGCTACAAACTGAGTTCAAGGCCAGCCGGAACTATATAGCGAGAACCTGCCTCAAAAAACAAAAAGTCAACAATGTAAATACCAAGTACATTGGATCACTGACATATCAACTAGACCATTAAAAAAAAGTAATCCAATATTTCAACATTACCAGCAACATGCAAATGATGTACCTGTATATCCTCCCCTGCATTAAAACATTTCTGGAAGCCCTTCTATTGTAGTCTATAAAACATTATTAATCAACACGGTTACTTACAAATTTAAACACGGTTTAAAAAAACACATTTGATTTCTTTCTTGGTATAGTATTTACCTCCGTAACTTACAAGTTCTCTGTTTTTGTTTATTCGTTTTCAGTGCTGGGAATGAACACAGAGCCATGCACATGCTCAGCACAGGGTTCTACCACTGAACTACTGTACATCTAAAGCCCCACCTCTATGTGTTTTAAAACGATCTCTAATAAATACACATAAGCAGCTCCTCTCTTGTAAAAGGCGAGAAGCAGATGGAGTTCACAGACAATAGTGTGAGAATGAGGCACATGGTTTACGACCGCTGATAGCAACAGATAGGCTCAGGTTCCTTCTGCCCAATGCCCAGGAGCACACAGAGCTGTGCTCCAATAAAGGGCCGTCTCATCTCTGTCACATGCACACAGCATTTGGAGTCAATTAAACCAAAGACCAGTACAGACAAGAACAATCCATTACTTGCAAATATGTTTATTTTGGCTTACAAATCTGCTTTAAAAGTCATTTGTAAATTTTTCTTTAAAGATGGTTCTTGGGGCAGGGGATTTGGCTCAGCGGCACAGCACCTGCTTGGCAAGCACGAGGTCATGAGTTCGATTCCCGGTACGGGGGTGGGGGTGGGGGAGATGGTTCTTGGTTAACCCAGAGCCTGGAGTCAGAAGAATACACAGGGATGGGACTAGGAGACTGATTTCCCTTTCAACACTTGATTCTGAGATCCTGTTACTCAAAGCTCCTACAGGTTAAAAACCAACAAGCATAAACACAAACCTGAAAATCTGAGGAAGGGTAATTTCAGTAGTTTTGTTTCACATCAGATCAGTTTGTGAAAGTTAAGAGAGGAAAAAGAAACAGGGATGGAATCATCTCGTATTTGCAAAGTATTTTCATGGTGTCTCATTTAAGCCAAAAAATTCAGATTACAGATGTACAAATTGAAGAAACATCAAAGATCAATGTCAGTTTATTAGTACTTCTGTTAGAGACAAATTTACTGAGGTAAAAGGAAATATACTTTGAAAATTAATGTAGAGTCAAGATAAAACTAGTTCTTCACAACTTCTGAGGTTGTCAGATGACCTTCTGTGTGAAGATGTCCAACTTACTGCAAGAACGCCAAGTAACACTCTGCAACTTGCTATTAGCGTTGGAACTAGAAAACTGGTAATATAAATTATGCCAACACCCATAAAACCTAACCGAGAGGTAGGACTGAGGCTTTCTTCCAAACTTCCTGCAGTGAATGGATCATTTAAATTTCAACTACATGTAATGATTAACAGAAGAAACACTGATAGGTACTCTTGAACAAAAACAGTTCATTCACTCATTCACATGCTTGAGATCCAGAAAGAGCATTCTTCTTTTTTTTTTTTTTTTTTTTCTGGTACCGGGAATTGAACTCACGACCTTGCACTTGCCAGGTAGGCACTGTGCCACTAAGCTAAATCCCCAGCCCCCCAGAAGAAGCATTCTGAATGAACCCAACGAAGTACCAAAAGTTCTAAGAAGACAAAAAAAGAAAATAATGAACTGGCCAAGTCTCATCTCGCTTCTTAGGTATCAAAAAATAACCCACAAAAATAAAGATCTTAATTCCTCATCTCCCTTGATGAGTTTTGCTAGTACAGTAGTTCACAGCTGCTTGCAATAAACGCTTGGTTAACTCAAATCTGTTCCCCTAATCTTCCTTCTCGAAACAAACAGGATATTGGTCTATTATTATGGAACGCACACTCTCTGGTTTTTGACTTTTTTTTAAAAAAGAGCCCTGGGGTGGGGGGAAGCTTTGAAACTTTGCATATTTATCTGCCATTGACTATCAAATTACTTCCTAAAGGTTTCTCAAACGTTCCACAGGATCTAAACTTCACACTGCAGGCTGATCCTTAAGTCAGGTCCTGCTTCTTCCCAGCCAATTCTGTCTGCCAGAGATCACTTACTCTTTACAGGCAGATCTGATCTCCTCTCTTCTTTCTGAGAAACAATCCTCCTGCTTACCAAGTGGATCCTCTCCAACCACCTTCATCCCCTCCTTAGAGTCTACAAATAAGATCAGGTCCCTGGTCCTGAAACCGCCTCCTATCAGCGAGGAAAGGAGGGAGGGGGCAGAAAGGGATAAGTCATTAAATCATTAACCTCTTGCAATCTGCCTTTTATCTCTGCCACTTTACTTGAATTCTTTCTGTGTGCTCAGCACCAAATCTCTCCGTCCTCCCAGTCCCCATCCAATTTGTTTCCTGTGCCAGTTCACCTTCCTCTCTAAAAGACTACGATGTTTCTCGTGCTTCTCTCGTGGGTCTTTCTCACCTCAACCATGCACCCTAACCTCCCCACAGCCCATCACTCACTTCCACCAGCCACCAAGTGTCTCCCTCCAGATGTCTTCCTGCCTGCATGTCCAACACCAAACCCCTGGTCTTTTCTTCCCTGCTCCCCAACTTCTTGCTTTTCCTACCTATGCTGTCAGCTCTTGGCCACTTAATCTCGATTTGCCGACTAGTGCCAGGAGAGGAGGAATCAAGTCATTTGCCAGGAACAAAGACTTTGTCTCAGCGTCTCTCAAATCTATCACCTGTTTTATACCACACAGCACTAAGCCTCTCACATGAAAGGTTAGCATACTCTCTTTTTGATATCTCTCCTTTACCTCAGCACTGTTGCTAGAGAAATACTCCTTCCACACAAGTTTGATCAGGCCTAGCATTCAAGATCCTCTACGTAGCATTTCTCAAACTGTTGTGCATGTGAGTCAATAGTGACTTTGCTAAAACGTAGGCACTTGTCCATTGCGTCTTGGGGGTACGTGATTCTGGAGTTCTAACACATTCCCAGAAAATGATGATACTAACAGTGTAAGAACATACACACGCACACACACATTCTCTCCCTCTCTCCGGCTCCAACCTATTTCTCTAGCCTCATCTTCTACTCCTCCCTGCACAGCATACACATCTGTACCTCTCACACACTCACAGGTCACATGCACAGGGGTACAGACAAAATGTTCTCCAAATATAATTACAGCCTCTGGGTTTGTTGATGTTTCAAGCTCAATGTCTACCAGAATTCTAACCACTCTTCAAGAGTCAGCTTTTCGGCTCCAGCTTTCTTCTTATCTTACAACCTACCTCACCCTTAGGAGGAACCCAGTGAACACAAAAACCTTAAGACGCCCAGGGCCTACTTTGCACTGCTTCTGCTCTGTAATGCCATTAGAGGTCTCTCACTTCTTTCCCACGGCTGGACTGCACAACAAACTCCTGCTGCAGGTCAGGATTTACCTGCTGAAACAGATGTCCATTGGGAGGCAAACGAAACATCTTATTCTACCGACCTCACCATCACCCACTTTGAGCAGCTGTCTCAGAAGTTTAAGAAAAACAACATTCTTCCAGAAGAGTTGACTCATGAGCATTAGCAAACCTAAGAAAATGTTGCTACATACTTTCTGTCTACAAAAAGTTCAATATAAACATTCAAATGGAACCTGGAGAATTTTAGTACTTACAGTACTCTCCAGGTATATAGATCAATGTTCTTATATTCAACTGAAATTTAAATCTAACTTATGATGACCTAGTTATTACTATAAGCTTTAAATGCTTTGCAATTCAGATTCTGACCCTTCCTGGCTTGCTTTCCCTAATCTGTGATCATTCCAGTTGTTAAACAGCACATCAGCTTTTCCCTAGCTGGGCTAAGATTGGCTATCTGCAAAATACCTTACCGTAACATATCTTACACTCACATCCAAATTTTGAAAAACATGCACTTTGAAGCACTATGTTTTAAAAGGCTAAGAAACCCAAGCAAGATAACCCTAAAGTAAATGTTCATATAGTAAACCCCTTAAATATCAAAGAACTGCCAGTATTCTTGAATTATCCGGACAGCTTGTTCAACACGCAGGTGCCAGGGGCTTATCCAGAGCAAAGCCTGACTCCGTGAGGCCAGGGAGGAACGCAGAGACCTGCACCTTCACCAGCATCCCCAGGTGATCCGGATGCAGGTGTTTCGCAGATTTCAGAGACGCAGCGCCAGTGCCCGCGTCCAGGGGCGCTACGGAGTTGTGTTTAAGGAAAACGGAGGCGCGCATCACTTTCGAAAGGTCTTTTCCAAAACTGCTGTTACCGCACCCAGAGTAAAGAGTGATTTACGTAAAGGAAAAATAAAGAAAAAGGCTGCCTGCAGGTCGAATGAGGCCCGAAAGCAGCGAGAGACACAGGCGCCGCTGGTCCCCGAGCGCCGCACCCCGCGCCCCCCGCTCTCACCCAGGGCGCTGCTCTCTCGGGGAGCCCGGCCCGGCCCTCCCGGCCCCCATGGCGGCGCC